GCACCTCTAATTTTTCCCCCTTTCACCATTTGCAGTGTTAAGGCACTGGATTAGAAACTGGGAGACCATGGGTTCTATTCCTCCCTGATGCATGGGAGCTGACTGGGTGACTTTGGACCAGTCTTTATCAACCCAACCCATCTCATCAGGTTGTTGTTGTGGGCAAAAAAGTAGAAAGCAGGAACATTATGTACAATACGTTGAGTTGTACAAGTATAGGCTGGATCTAATAGATATAAATTACATACTGTGGTTTGTCTCCAGATCTTATAGATTGTATGAATTACTACCTTTGGAAAAGAACCAAAAAGGCCAAAATTGGAGCCATCATGACATCTTCAGTTAAGCCTTCCTTAATGCTGGTATAAATATGCAGTCCCCAGCTGAAAAGAATTCCCCATCAGTGTGCCAAACACATTTTAGTTTAATTTCTTGCACTACACTGAGGAAAAATCACAAGTTAACAAGCCGTGGAGTTCTATATGCAGTATATTTACAGCAAACCAGAGTTTCCTAGGGTTTTCTGATATACATAATACATATTTCAATATCCAGCTATTAGAACACTGCAGATAATTTACAATTAAAAAACTAACCTGTTGCCACAGTTTCCTTTAATTCAAGCTGTACACGCTGCATTTGTGAAAACTGATGCAAAGCTGAGACTGGGTTGATCTCTCCTCGTTTGTATTTTGTAATAAATTCCTTTGGAATTTTCTTGGGAGGAAGTGAAGTAATTGGAATTACAGGCACAGTTTTAGTATATTGATAGTCATGACCTAAAGTGCATTGGTAAACAGCAGGAAAAAAGAACTAATGTGAATTACAGCATTTACTTGATCTGAAACATAGTAATGTCCTTCACTGTTATTATTTGTATTTCTTCTCTTCCAAAAATTCCTCTTTAGAGGCAATTTACAAATAAGACTTTTTGTGCATTTATTCCATTTTATTCTTGATCTGCCCCTTTAAGAACCTGCACAGGGAAGGATAGAACTGTTAATAGTTATTTAAAAAATACCAATATATGTTTATCTAGATAAATACCATATGAGAAAATCAGTAACTAGTAAGAAAAGAGATTATATAATTATATCTACAACATAATGGAATGCTTGGGGTATTCTGAACTATAAATGTATTAATCTGTATAACTGGAGCAACATCCAAAAACAACAGATCAAACAACAGTTGTGCCAAAGATTTGTCAACCTGTATCAATGGCTAATATCAGTTGGATACATCATATTCAAAGAACTCTGTTAATGAACATTATGTTTGCAATAAGATGTAGAAGCAACTGCTACCAAATCTAATTGTCATACTAGTATATGTGTAGCCAAATTACCAACTGTACAGACTGAAAATGTAACTCTCACAACAGTACCAAGCTCTTGTAACTGATAACATGGAAGTTGCACTGAAAATATTAAATGTAATAGTATTGTCTCATATTCTGGTAAGAGACCTAAATGGGAATACTGTACAATAATAACAAACTGTAAAGTTATTGTGAAACTATTCAACAATTAATATCTTGCTAATTAAATTTTGAAGGTTTTAGGAAGAGAACCATGGAAAAGAAAATAGACGTAATGCCAGGAAACTAGCACTACAGTTACCATTCCTTTTCAGATCTTTCTTTTTTAAAATAATGATTAGCAATGTGCTACAACAAATGATTATGTACTCCAAATTACACAGCAGTCAAAACCAGATGTTTTCACTCAATGTTTTATTTTATTCAAAACATTAAAATACAGTTTCCAAAAACAGAATACAAAAACAAAACAAAGGAAAGCAACACTACACCAAAAAGTTCATAAACCAGACAAAACAAACATATACATAAATTGGGAGCAGACTTAAAACTGGTCAGTGGCAAAGAATATATTTTCTTTCATATGGTTGGAGCTATACTGCAACACTTGAGAGTTGCCACCAGGATCCTAACCATTCCATCAAGAGTAGTATCTTATGAAGAAAATTTCATGGTTTTCAGCCCAATGAAGATTTTTTTAAAGAAAGCTAAAAAATATCAAACATACTGTATACACTGCCAAGTAAAAAATGTCTTGCTTCAAGATAATTTATTTCAAAAAGAACAGTTAGGCCCATGCAATGTGAGAAGTTACTTTTGCCCATAAAATCACCCTTAAATGAAAAAGAGTGACTTGAACAGTCCAAAGGTTGCCTTAGATTCAAATGGAGTAGAGATTTGTTCTGAAAGTGAAAAGAATATCCGAATACTGACCTCAGAAAAAATAAGAAAACAATGGAGTTTCCCACTGTTATACTATAGTTGTATACTGCAACTACATCTTGCTTTGCTCACTATACCAGCATTTCTCAATCTTGGTTACTTGAAGTGTGGATGTCAACTCCCAGAATTCCCCAGTTATTTTAAAAATTCTAGTATTTTACTCCAACTAGTGTTTCTTTTAATGTTCTGTTCTAAAATGTCAACATACTAATTTTGCTGTGGTCATTATTAAATGCTGGAAAGGGAACACTTTTGCTAATTATTAGCAAAATTATTTGAATCAGATGCTTTTGTAGAACAAGGCTATCCAATTTTGCAAAAAACGATATTAGAGGAATAAAATAATTAAGAAATATTTTAAATTGCAAACAAGTTAATCCATTAAAGCAAAAGCAACCAGGCCTCATTACATTTATATACCAGCACCTGTATTAAGGTATTACCTTTTAAGGATGAGAATCGACTATCCAAAGACAGGACTAGGCACATATCCATAGTTTAATCATAGTCCTAGCTTATATATATTTACTACAATTTTTTAAAGAATGCTTTAAGTACTACCAAACTTCCAATTCTTTAGTGTTGATAGACAACGTAAGAGGAAAAGCCACCATTCAAAATCAATACCTGTAATAGGGGTCACCCTAGATGCCAAGTTTGATACACTGGATGTTTCTGGGATTAAAAACACCGGTTTAGCATTCTCCGCTTGCCGAAACAAACCACTGTGAGACGAAGACGGGGCAGAAGGTTGAGATGGCTGGGCAGGCAAGTTCTTCTTCAACATTTGAGCAAAACTAGGTACTCTAGAAACCCAGTCATTTGCCATCTTTTCTCACCTAAAACCAAGTCGAAACAACAAAGAGCGTTATTTTTTATCAGCAGGGCATTCTGGCGTCAATAAGGCGGTCCTTCTGAGTGTCCGTCCCGCAATTGGGAGAAGAAGGGGCAGCGGAGAAAGCTTGTCTCCCTTAGCAAACGAAGGAGGCCACTAACCCTTAGCCCACCCGACGAGCTCCAACGGAAACTCCGCCTTCGGGAGAAACTACACGAAGCTGAAAAGAAAGCGCGGGACCGAACCTCCGGAGTTCTAGAATCCCACGCGGGAAAACGCCGCCTTGGCCCGCTTTTAAAGCTGCCGATCACGTGATTCACACTTCTCCTTCTCCTCCTCCTCCTCCTCCGCCCGACGCTTTAACGGTTCTTGGGCGGCGGCTCGCTGGTTGGGATGCCTCGTAAAAACGAGCGGTTTGGTGGAACACGTGCCCTCCTCCTGATGGTTTTGCAAAGGAAAGGACGATTTTTTATCTGACCGTCCCTTTTTAGAGTAAGGGTTGCCGCCCGCTTTAAGAAGTTGGATGAATACGGAGGATTTCGGGGAGGGAGCTCTGAAGGTTCTTTATTCCGCGGCCGAATTAGTGGAAAAAACTACACCTGCTGGACCTGGATCTGCCCTCCTGTCCTCTTAGCCTTGAACAAGCTGCATATGCTTCTAACCACGATGAATGAGGGGCTCAGGTTACAGGCTGAAGAACCAGCAGCTAATAATAATAATGATAAAGTTGGAAGGGACCTTGGAGGTCATCTAGTCCAACCCCCTGCTCAGGCAGGAAACCCTATACCATTTTGGACAAATGGCTGTCCAGTTTCTTCTTAAAAACTTCCAGTGTTGGTGCATTCACCGCTTCTGGAGGCAGGTTGTTCCACTGGTTAATTGTTCTAACTGTCAGGAAGTTTCTCCTTAGTTCTAGGTTGCTTCTCTCCTTGGTTAGTTTCCATCCGTTGCTTCTTCTTCTGCCTTCAGGTGCTTTGGAGAATAGCTTGATTCCCTCTTCTTTGTGGCAACCCCTGAGATATTGGAACACTGCTATCATGTCCCCCCTCGTCCTTCTCTTCATTAAACTAGACAGACCCAATTCCAGCAACCATTCCTTATATGTTTTAGCCTCCAGTCCCCTAATCATCTTTACCGAATTACCAAATCTGGCTGGCCCGAACGTAACTTTCCAACCTCCGCTATACAGAATAATGAATATACATATTCATTCTTTGACAAAGTGCCCAAATTAATGGACCAGCGAAAATGCTGTGGACATAGTATACTTGGATTTCAGTAAGGCATTCAGCAAAGTAGACCAGAACCTACTTTTGATAGGCTAGAAAAATGTGAAATAGACAAAACTGTACTCAACGAGTAAGTACATGGAAGGAAGTAGGCAGTGGGGTACACCAACGTACTCTTTTAGGCCCAGTACTCTTCTATATATTCTGAAACGGTTTAAATAAGGGAATAGAAGGGGAACTCATCCAATTTTTGGATGACACTTAGCTGGCAGGAATAGCCAACACCCCAGGATTCCAATGCATCTAGACAGACAGACAGACAAGATAGATAGATAGACAGACAGACAGACAGACAGATAAGATAGATAGATGTTACAGAGTCTCCTCCTTAAGCAGTAGGTTGGACTAGAAGACCTCCAAGGTTCCTCCCAACTCTTATTCTGTAAGGAGGAAACCTTGCTTTTTAAATTGTACCTCCATTTTTTTCCTGAACAATACTCAACTATTTGTAAATATGTTACTAATTTACACTGAATTTAGGAGGGATACTATAGTTCAACTTAATCCTTTTCACTAAACTTAAAACTGTGTGTGATCAAGATATTCCAAAATAAATGAAGATGTATAGTTACATTTATATGGATATTATTTATTAAGTTGGTATTCTAGTGAGAGCAATGCAATGAGTACAATACAAGATCTTAAAATCTCATCTGAAAGTAAACGCCATTAGTGCTGGAGCATTTTATTTGACAGTATCCAGTACTTTTCCTGTGTAATATATTATTTAAATATGTTCCTTGTAAAAAATAATCAACTAAACTAGGTTATATTTGATATTTTTATTTCAAGTATAACAAATAGATACAACTGATGCAGAATATTGCACACAATATAGTTTTAAATATCAAACAGGGCTTTCATAGTTTTCTTCACATTTGTCATGCAGTACTAGACTGAACACAAAATGACATCCTCTTTCAAAATAAAAGTTATTCATAATATTGATGAAGTTTTAAATATAGCAGCAAAAAAGCTATTAGGTTCTTTCAGTGTAAATTGTTTTAAAATTATACAGTGACCATACCACAAAACAAATGATTTTTAAAAAAGTCTGTTTGCCATCCTAATTCTAGGATTTTTAGTGATCTTCCTTGTCTTTTCCTTTCTTTTCTTTTTCATCCTGTAATGCAGTGCCAAGTTTTTTGATGAGAACTGACAAAACTTTATCCAAGGGATCCATGACTCCACGTTGAAGCCACTTAGGAATAGTGGTTCTTGCATGATGGAAACCAAGCTTCTGAAGAATATAATCCACACCGACAGGGTCAATCTTTCTTCCAGTCCAAGAGATTAACCTATAGATTAAAATATTCTATTACTTTCAATAATCAAGAATAAATTAATTTTCTACAGTTCAATAGTTTATTATATGTTAATAGCCATAGATTCTACAGTAAGGGAATTTTATAGGTCTTGCAGCTCTCCCTGCATCTTTCCAGGCCTTTCCTGTTCTAGACCATCCCTAATTATGTCCTGTATTAATATATAAAGCAATATATATTCATAGTATAAATTTTCTTTTGCTATGCATTTTTGTAAATAGTTCCTAGCTGTGTGTAAAACTAGCCATTAGAGTTGCCTATAGTTAAGAATAATTATTTCTAAATGACAATTCACTGTGTGGTAATAAGTAGTGGAATATTTGTCTGAAAATCAGACTGATTATTGAAAACAAATGCTAATTACCTCAATGTGGGCTCCAGATGCCAAGTATTACAGATAAATTCTCTCCAATCCACAGTCGTGTAAGTAACACTTTCTTCCAATTCTTTTTCACTACTGTTCTCATCTAGTACACTGATGGGGCTTTTTTGTCCTGGCCGACTAAACAAAGCACGAGGTGGAAAGACTGCTAGAAAAAGAACAGAAATGTTTCTATTTTAGGCTATAATCTTCATTTTGGTTATAGACAAATATAAAATATGTAAGACTGCAACCACTCCAGAAATAAGAATTTGAGGTTTGTAACTCATTCAATATAACAAAATTATACTGATTATTAAGAAAAAACTGTCGACTTGCATACTGAGATCTATTAGAATCGCAAAGTTACGATGGCATTGAATAAGAGGGAGTGATGATTGGTCTCAATTGTTGTAGCATCTCCACAGTTGTAATTGTGAACTGGGTGTTCGGTCCTGGCTTGTGATTATGTCACAGTGAACCACAGTTACGTGATTGTGATTTGTGTACCCTGCCAACTTTCCACAAACAGTAAATGGGGAAGCCGGCAGGAAATTGGAAGTCACTTCTGCTTTTTCACCCACCTGCACTCTAGAGTGCCTGCCCACAGCAACATGCAGCACCTGTCCATGCTCCAGAATACCTGCCTACAGTACCTGCACACATCCTGCTGTGCTTACCTGGGTCTCTCATCTCCTCTCACTTAATGACCAGCACAATCCTGGGATTCTGACAACAACCAGGACTGCAGTCACTAAAAATGCAGTCACGTTTAGCTTAATGACGACCTAGCTTAGCAAAAGAAATTGTGGCC